TGATATCAGGGTTGCGAGATTGAGCCCCACATTGGGCACAGAGATTAAGAAAAAAAAAAAAGCTTTCTCTTCTCCTTATGTTAACTATATATATTCATGTTGTCTACAAATGTATATCAAATGTATACATTTTGATATACAAATATCAAATACAAAATGATTTGATATTTATATATACTGCAAAGTCACCCCCACAATTAATGTAGTTACCATCTATCACCAACAGTTTTTTTTCTTGTGATAAGAACTTTTAAGATCTCCTCTCTTAGTATAAATATATATATACACTCCTGTCATTACCAGGATATGTATTCACTGCTTTCTTTCTGTAATAATAGTTAAAATTTATTTTGGCATTACTATGTGCCAGACACTGCGTACCTCATATAACATGTCAACTCATTTAATTCTCACAGTGGCTCTAAATGGCAGACAGTATTCTCACTAACAATGAAAAAACTGAGACTCAGAAAGGCTAAGTAATGTATCTCTAGAAGTTGTCAAAAGCAGGATTTAATCTCCAGCATGTCTGACTGGAAAGCCTGTGTTAGTAGGTCAAATTACTATCCCAGCAAAATAACAAGAATCCTGGGATAGCGCAGGGAAGAACCGGGACATCTTACCTTGGCTAATGTGAGTCAAGGCATTGCTGCAACTGTCTACTGTTACAAATGAAAAGTTAGTCAAAGCCAACCACTTTAATCCAAATATATACCACTCTATAAACCACCAAGTACAACCCTGTTTCAAATTTTGGAACTTTTACAAAATTCCCAAGGCCTAATTATAGAAAGCATGCAAAGTGATAAATCAACAACCCGATGAACATTAAGAGTATGGCAAGGTTATTTTACATGCTTTCAAGTACATTTGATTCTTACCAGATTTCATTTCCAAAAGTGTATTGTTATCAATTTCATGGTTGGCTTTTCCGGGGGGAGGCACTCGCAATGGTATGATCTGAGGAACACACACTGAGCCTGCAGTCATTTTCCCTCCTTACATTAAAAAAAGTGGATGAAAATAAATTCCAATGGGCACCTTTTTGAACACAAAAGTTGAAGAGAAGTGCTTTGTTTAAATACAGCAAAACTAGTAAAAACTAAGAGAATGCCACCAAAAACATTATTTTTAATTCAAATAATTATCATTTCAGCTGCATTTTTGCTGTTGAGGTCTTGTGTGGGATTTTGATTATCTAAATACTTACCTCACATCTGGGAAAAGAGCATGAACAAATGGGATGGGGAAATGACATTATTTTAAATGAACAAATTAGATGAATACAATAGTCCCCCCCCCCTTATCCATGGGGGAAATGTTCAAGACCCCCAGTGGATGCCTGAAACTACAGATAGTGCCAAACCCTATATGTACTGTTTTTTCCTATACATATATACCTATGATAAAGTTTAATTTATTAAATTAGGCCCAGTAAGAGATTAACAACAACAATAATAAAATAGAACAATTACAACAGCATACTATAATAAAAGTTATGCGAATGTGGTCTCTCTCAAAATATCTTTTTTTTTTTTTTTAAGATTTTATTTATTTGACAGGGAGAGACACAGCGAGAGAGGGAACACAAGCAGGGGGAGTGGGAGAGGGAGAAGCAGGCT